ACTTGAGCCACAGCACCACTTCCGGCTTTTTTCTTTTTGCTTATATGGTGCTGAGGAATCGAACCCAGGGCCTCAGGCATGCAAGGCAAGCGCTCTACCACTGAGCCAACCTCCCAGCCCAAATTTGGACAGTTTCTGTACAGGTTGATACAACGCAATACACTTGCTATTTTTGAAATAAACTCGATTATTTTTCAAGTAATTGGTTTTTAAGGATACCTTTTTTTTTCTTTTGGTGGTGCTGGGGACTGAACCCAGAGCTTTGACTAGGGTAGGCAAACCCTCCACGATATGAGTAGTACCACCTTTGGCCCAAGGACATGTGATTCTTGAAGTTAAAAAAACTTAATTAAAAAGTTTTTTTCTTTAGTTGCACAAGAGGTTGAATAGGTTTTGTCTATTCAGTGCTAATTTTAGTTTGTTGGGTAATATTTTAGGTTGTTCCTTCTGTAGACTTTACTTAGAATGTAGACTAATACATTTGATTTGGCATTGTGCTCTTCAGCAAATATTTTTCATGTTGTAGGACTGCATACGTGCTAGCTGATGTTATGGATGATCAGTTGAAATCTATGTACTTCACTCCATTTCAGGCTGAAGAGATTGAAACAGATCTGGATTTGGTATAAAGGACCTTTTTACTAAATATTTTTTAAAGTTACTGATATTTGTCTGTTCTTTTGTGTGTTAACATTCCAGTAGTTTTCATACTTATGTGATGGTTAAGGTGCTCACTTAGCAATATCTTGAACTAAATTTTTTGGTTTTTGTTTTAATTGATTTTTTTTGTGTGTGTGCTAGTACTGGGCTTGAACTCACAGCCTGGACTCTCTGTTTCATAGCTTTTTTGCTCCAGGATAGCACTCTGCCACTTGAGCCACAGCTCTACTTCTGGCTTTTTGGTGGTTAATTGGAATGAAAGTCTCATGGATTTTCATGCCTAGACTGGCTTTAAACCATGATCTTTAAATCTTAGCCTCCTAGTAGCTAGGATTATAGCTGTGAGCCACTGGTACCCAGTTCAGAGCTTAAGTTTTCATGGTATGTGGTTTGCTTCTTTTTTGTTGTTGGTTTTGTTGGGGTTTTTTCTGGTTTGTTTGTTCATTTCCTGTGCTTGAACTCAGAGCCTGGGTCCTGTTTCTGAGTTTTTCTGCTCAAGATAGTGTTGTACCACTTGTGCCACAGCTCCACTTCCAGCTCCCTTGATGGTTAATTGGAGATAAAGAATCTCACAGACTTTACTGCCCAGGCTGGCTTTGAACCAAGATCCTCAGATTTCAGCTAAGTAACTAAATTACAGATGTGAGCTACTAGTGCTTGGTTCTTTGTTTCTTTTTAATCTTATTTGTAATTTAAGATTGTTGTTTTTCAGGGAAAAACCACATTTTTGTATAAGTACTTGGGAGCTCTATTGGTAGGGTACAGAATAAAGTATCCTATAACAGTTCAGTTCTTACATTGGGTTTAAGGAAAGAAACAATAGTAATATCTGCTTTCAGTTTGGGAACATAAATTCATCTTGGGCTGGGAAGGTGGCTCAGTGGTAGAGTGCTTGCCTTGTATGCATGAGGACCACCACATAAGCAGAAAAAGCCAGAAGTGGTGCTGTGGCTCAAGTTGGTAGAGCACTAGCCTTGAGCTGAAGAGCTGAGGGACAGCGCCCAGGCCCAGAGTTCAGGCCCCACGACCGACAAAAAAAAGGCAAATGATTTTGGCCACATCATCTCTTCCCCAGCCCCTTCTTTTCTGTGCTGGTACTAGAATTGGTCTTGAACTGAGAGCTTTGAACTCTTTCCTAGCTTTTTCACCCATGGCCTGCACTCTACCACTTGAGCTACTTCTCCAAGTATTGTTGTTTGGTGGTTAATTAGAGATGACTTTGCAGGATTTGTCCTCTCCATCTGACTTTGAACTGCAAATCCTCAGACCCTCAGCCTCTTAAGTAGTTGAGATTATAGGTGTGAGCCATTAATGCCTGGCTAGTCACATCTTAAATATTTTATATAAGCTAATGACTAACCCTAACCCTAACCCTATTTACGTATGTATATGTATGTATATATTTAGTGGCTACTTTCCCTTTTAAAAAAATCAAGTATTGGGGCTGGGAAGGTGGCTCAGTGGTAGAGCGCTTGCTTTGCATGCATGAGG